TTGACATAAAAAATTTTGGAATTCATGAGAAATGTACTCACCGCCATTGTCACATTGAAGTTGTTTAAATTTTTAGGAAAATTGATTTTCAACCAAGGATTTAAAGTTCACAAAACAAGATAAAAACATCATATTTATTATGGATAGGGTATAACCATGTAAAACATGAGTAGTTGTCTATGAAGAGAACATAATATCAATGAGCCTCAGGAGAAACAGTAGGTGAAACCCAAATATCGGAATGAATAAGATCCAAGACAGACAATACCACACATGAGGAATCCTTAAATGTCAATTGCTTAGATTTTCCCATTAAATATGGTTGACACACAGAATTCAAATTGGAGGAGCTAAAAATAGGAAAATCAAAAGACTTAACACTTTTGGTGATATGTGAGGATGGATGGCCTAATCTAGCATGCCAAACATCAAAAGTAGTGCGAATTCCTATAAGAGCAACATTTGATCCAAATTTATTTACTGATTCCCGATCAACCTGAATAGTGTATAGTCCACCTTCACTCTTGCCTGTTAGCAACGTGCATCCCATGAGGTTGTCCTTCACAAAGAAATTAGAACCGGTAAGAATAAAGTAGCAATCATTGTCTATACAAAGACGATTAATAGACAAAAGATTTACTACTACTTACGAACAATGAAGAATATGTTTCATATTGAAAGTGGATTTAGATGCATGTAAGGTAAGTTTACCAGCATGCTTAATTTGTAAACCATTATCGTTACCAACAACTACTTTGTCATCCCCTGTGTAGGGTTCAACCAAGTGGAGATTACCAATATCAGTAGTGACATGTTGGTTTCCACCATTATCAACATACCATGTATCCTCATTATGAAGAGAATTAGAATGTGCAACCATGGATGCTAATTATTGAGGTCGATGTCTCTTAAAATAGTGGATTAAGCCTAACTCAACCTTACAAAACTGGCTTGTAAAGTGAAGGTTGTTTTCCACTTTTATACTATTTAATTGCCTAATCTCTAGTCGATGTGGGACTTGGGTTTTTCCCAATACACCCCCTCTCACGTCCAACACTATTGGGCTTGGTACGTGGATAAATGGTAGGTGGCCCTTTTTTAATGATCTAGTTTTTTTAATGATCTAGGATTAGCAGGTCTTGAATACACCCCCCTCATGCCCATGGTGCATGTATCAATGAATGGTAGGTGACCCTTTTTTAATGGCGGGACTTGAATACACCCCCTCATGCCCATGGTGCATATATCAATGAATGGTGGGTGGCCCATTTTTTAAGAATCTAGGATAGTTCTGATACCATCTTAGAATAGTGGATTAAGCCTAACTCAGCCCTACAAAATCGCCTTGTAAGGTGAAGGTTGTTTTTCACTTATATACTATTTAATTATCTAATCTCTAGTCAATGTGGGACTTGAATTTTTCCCAATATGCCCTTGATAGTTATAATCATACCTATGGAAGTAGTCAAGTGCCATGTGGTTTTCTTGCCACATATTTGACAAGAACATGGATCAAAGGACGGATCTCTTGCCGACGTAGGTGCACGCCCAATATTGTTGAGTATGTGCCCAGTTTTGGTAGAGACGACATTATTCCCACTTTTATTGCCTTGAATAGGTTTCTGAGTTTGGGGGTGGAGTAAAATGTTGTTGTTGCCAATTTTTATTTTTCTGCTAATTTCGTCCTCCCCTCCCTCCAAGTTTATTGGCAACCGTTGCAAAACCATTAAGATCAGGTTGCACACTATGATTTTGATTTTCGAGGAGGGCTTCAAAAGCAAATAATTCGGATTGGAAATCATATAAGGATAAAGATTTCTCCCTCTAGGAAAAATAGCAATTTGAGATGAATGGAGTGTAGGCAGTGTTGAGTCCTCCAAGGATATGAGAAATTAAATCTTCTTCAGTCACAGGCCTTTCTATTGCCACTAATTGATCGACAAGGGCTTTGGCTTGTTCAATGAAATCGGAGCATTTTTTCCTTTCTTGCTGCAAATTTTGCATATGCCATTTAATTGATTGACATTGGAGACTGAAGGAGATGCAAAGCATTGTGCCAAAGCAACACACGCAAGTCAAGCAGTCTTCAGACCATAGACCATAGATAGCACCTTCTCCGATAGGGTAGATTTCATCTAAATCAAGACAAACTAGTTCCTACGATTCCATAAAGTGAAATTAGGATTGGTTTCACGACTGGTCCTACCTTTAGTAACAGGTAGAAATTCATTTGGGCACAGTTCTATATCATCCACATAGCCAAAAGTTCGTGAATACTAAGGGTATCTTCAATTTGAGATGACCAATTTGTCAAAACGGGTAACCCAGCCCGGCCCGACCCGGCCCACTACGGGTTGAGCATTTGGTGGGCTAACCCAACCCGGCTCATTTATTAGTGAGCTCAAAAAAATTGAACCCGGCCCAGCCCACCACGGGTTGGTGGGTTAAACGGGTTGGCTCACCTAATTTAAAAAAAATGTAAAACCCTAAACCCTAAATTGAAAACAAACCAAATTGGCAAACTACTCGCGATGGGCTCACGATGCGTGCAGTAGCTCGAGGTGCGCACGGTGGCTTGCAGTGGCTCACGATGCGTGCGGCGGCTCAGGGTGCTTGGTGAGCACGGTGCCTTGCTGTGCGGTGTCGTGGCAGCTATGCGGTGCAGTGTGGTGGCTGGTGCGGCGTGGTGGCAGCAATGGTGGCTGGTGCGGTGTGGTGGCAGCTATGGTGGCTGGTGCGGTGTGGTGGCAGTTATGGTGGCTGATGCGGTGTGGTGGCAGTTATGGTGGCTGATGCGGTGTGGTGGCAGAACTATGGTGGTTGTGCGGTGCGGATTAAGGGTGTGAGAGTGCAGGCTGTGTAGCTATAGATTTCTGAAGTTCAAATTGAAAAATGAAACCCCAATAAGTATAGGTTTTTTTTTTTACGGGTTGGTAGGTTAGCCCGGCTCACCAGGGGTTCAACTCGGGTGAGCTGGGTTGTTAGTGAGCTGGGTTCAAAATTGGTCCGTACTAAAATTTTTAAATTTTTTTTGGCCCAACCTGGCTTGAACCCATGGTGGGCTGGGTTGGCTCACCGGGCTGAGCCCACTTTGACAACTCTATAAATAATAAGCAGGTCCTTCCAAGCCTCACTAAAACGTATTGTTGGAGATTATTTGGGGAAATGAAGGTAGCAATGGAAGACAACATTTTGCGAGGATCGGGCGTAAGCCATACACTCTAGGTACCATGAAAGAATAATAGGATAGGAAAGGCTAGACCAATGTGTCATAACCTGATGTATATTCTCTATTATATACACATTTACAACTCAATAAAATCCCTCAAAACACTCCTACATATCATTACAAATATCAGGGTATAAATAATAACCAAAATATCACAATAACTACTCAACGGTAATATTCTCATTATGAGTTGAATTGTGTTCTCATACTAATTAATTGCCTTACAGAAAATCATTTGAAGGATGTTGTTTTCACTTTTGACAACATTAGAAGAGTTAAATTCTAGGAGCCCAACTTCTTTTGCGTATAGATTTATAAAGAGAAGTGACCAAACACACTAAGAGCATCTATAATCCCAACCACTTTAAATGGGTCTCACTGTGTCACGTCACTCATAAGCAACTCATATTATATTTTTACAATTTTTTCTCTAATGAAAATTATTTATAAGCACCCCTACTTTTTTACAACTCATACTATACTTTTTGATACCTCACACTACACTTTATGATAAATTTTTATAAAATTAATTATTATAAATATTCATTCTCTCTTCTCACGTCTCACTTTCTCTGAATCTCTCCTCTCACAAAAAGTCTCTCACTTGCTCTTCCCCTCTCTGTCACCCTCACCTTCAATGTGCAATTGGCCGAAGGTGTGCACGGCTGGCCAGAGGTTGCTGCGCACGGCTGGCCGAAGGTCGCTCAGCCCGGACACCCGTGCGCGCGGCGGAGGAGAACGCACGATTGGCCGAAGGTTGCTCGGCCCGAACGTCTGCGCGCGCGGCAGAAGAGAACGTGTGGTTGGTCGGAGGTCGCCCGGCCCGGACGTCCGCAAGCGCGACGAAGGAGAACGCGCGGCTCGAAGGTCTGCGCGTGTCAAATCGGAGGTCCGCGCGCCGCGCGCCTGGTCGGCCGGAGAATCGCGTGGCTGACGGAGGGAGAAGTAGAGGTTTTTTTTCCTGAATCTTTTGTTTCTAGAAGAACCAATCAAAAGTCTTCATTTTTACACTTCATAGTGTTAAGCTCCATTCCTTCTTCAAGAAACTCTGGCAAAAAATTAAGATCTCCTCTTGTCACGTAGGATGACTCCATTAGGAGTTTCTTGTAAACACCGGTTCTTATTTTTAAGTTACACCATAAGCAACCCCCACTGGAGGTGCTGAAAGGATTTTTTCATACCATAAAAAACGCCACTAAATGGAGTAAGAGAAGAAAAAAGATTTAAAGATTCAATATGGATTCGTATGAGTTCTTAAACCCTCTCATTGAAACTACAAAACATGATTATAGTATGTTATCAAAGATTCTTATAGTGTCTTGTTTGTATAATGATTCCTAGACATGGTAGTAAAATTTGCTTATACTCTGCTATAAAAAGCGTCACTTAGCTTGTTTACATTTTAGTTAGCAACCGGGATTCAAAACCTGAATGTTCTAGTGAGTATATTATGGTAGTTCGTACTCTCCCATGCTGGAATGGAGCCCACAGAGATTGAATGATATGTCACATGGCTCAAACTTTATCACCTTTCCGAAAGAGATAGGACGTGGGTGCTGTTAAAATTTCGCCCTCGAGGACTTGTCTGTTTCACATTTACTTTCCAACTTTGCAACCATAAGAAGACAAAATCACAAACACAATAATTAAAAATCCACACCAATGGTGGACCCTTAACAGAAGCGGTACCGCGTCATAAAGGAATATTAGATTGTAGCATGCAACTATGAGTATGGCCCTCCAAGCAGTATAAAAAAGGAGCATTGGTTGTGTCATTCATCACCAACTAAAAAATGATGAGTAACAATAACATGGCTTCCTTGAGCTTCCTAGTGTTGCTCCTTGCAGCACTGACACTGAGTCTATCCCCTCAAGGGCTTGCTGACTATGCCAAGCCCCCAGTCAAGAAACCACCTATTCACAAGAAACCTCCACCTGTTCACAAGCCCCCATATGGAAAACCACCTTTGCATGAATCTCAATATGAGAAACCACCACTTGAGAAGCCACCACATGAGAAACCACCAGTTGAGAAACCGCCACATGAGAAGCCACCATTTGAGAAGCCACCACATGAAAAACCACCATATGGGAAACCACCTGTGCATGAGGCTCAATACGACAAGCCACCATATGAGAAGCCACCACATGAGAAACCACCATTTGAGGAGCCACCTCATGAGAAACCACCACATGATAAGCCACCACATGAAGAGCCGCCATTTGAGAAGCCACCACATGAAAAACCACCGTATGGTAAACCACCTATGCATGAGACTCAATATGATAAGCCACCACATGAGAAACCACCACATGGGAAGCCACCACATGAGAAACCACCACATGAGAAGCCACCATTTGAGAAACCACCATATGGTAAGCCACCTCACCCAAAGTACCCTCCAACAGATGATACTCGTTTCTGATTCTGAAGTATGTTAAGAGGTGTATTAAGTATGTGTTCAATAAGAGGTGTAGCTACTATCATTTTGATGCACTGGATGCATATACTTTACAAATTCTGGTAGCCGTTACTCTTTGGCTCCTTTGTTTTGTTTATATATCGTGGATGTGTGAATGTAAACCCAAAAAAAAAAAAAAAGGTGCTTTGTATTCCGAATTTTGAATAAAATAACTTTATATGTTTTAAATATTATCTAGGTTGATTAGTTAATGACCAAATCATATCGGTAATCCTTAACTAAAAAGTTAACTGAATTCAAAGTGAAATAATTCGAATAATGTCTGAATTCAATCTTTAACAAAAAATAATTATTAACAAGATTTTATTTATCTTCTAATCAAGTCATATCAATTTAAAGTAAAATTTTATTGGTACAAATTCAAAAAATATTGATAATCTTAAACTACTTTAGCAAAATATTCCCGTTTATATATAAATTCTAGATTGTTGGCGTACTATGAATTAAGATGCATGAAAGACAATAGAGCTAGAAGATGTGTAGGAAATGAAATTGGCCACTGTGCAGGGCTTTCTGAGCTTTTAGTATGTGATACAAGCAGGAATAATCTTTCAGGAGTTTACCATCGACACTAGATAATGCGTTTTGCAGCTTGAAATAATGCAAATCTTTGTTACATTGCCAAACCAAGGCACCAATTCCCTTGGAATGCGATTTTACCTTGCAATATATTTTGGAAGGAGTAGGGAAGTTGGCCACTAAAGTTATTTACATTAGCAAATTCTTATTCTGGTACGAGCTTTCAGTAATTCTAGTAAGTTTATTAGCTAAATCGTGAACGTTTAGGTTTGCTATATTTATTCGTACGAAGATAATATAAGTTACTGATTCATGAATACAATATATTATAAGAAATATAATATATATTTTATTAATATTTCATAAATAAATAAATGAATAAATATTATTAAAATTATAAATAATATATTGGTAAATTCAAAAAATTATATATATTTCTAGAGTGAGTAAATTATAAAATTTATATGAATATATCAGTAAATTTAAAAATTATATATATATATATATATATTAAAATTCATAGGATAATTACGTGCGAAAATTTTACGGATTTTAAATTCTCAAAAAACTTACTTGTGAATTTTAAAATTTGTAAAAATAATTCTAAAACTTTAAAATCACAAGAAAATTACTTGTGGAACTTATTGTGGATTTAAAATTTGCAGGAAATTTATTTTCAAATTTTCTACAAATTTTACATTCACTAAAAACATTCCAGCAAAAAGATATTGCAAATAATTTTTCCAGCGAAAAAAACCTGGAAAAAAGAATGAAGGAAATCTCTTAGGAATTTAAAATTTGTAATTACTTGCGAATTAAAATTCATAAGAAAATATGTCGTAAATGCATTTCCTGCAAATTTGTTGAAAAAAAGAAGCAAAAGAAGCAAAAAAATCCGCATGTAATGTAGCGAAAGTCTCTATTTAATTTGGTACTTATAACGAACTGTATGTAACTAAACTAATATGGAATTTCTTCGCTTTAACTGATTATTAACTTTTGGTTGCAGCATGAGTTGAGCGACATAAGTGAATAGAAAACAGTATTTAGATGAAGTATCTTCTATCCGCATTAAGTTTGTAAATCAATTATCAAGCACTTTGGATATTTTACCCTTCACATTTGTTTTAAAATTTGAATTCACTTATTTTAGTTGGACTTTTTTTATAACATATTTTCAATGAATTAAAATTTTAAATTATTTGTGATTTTAAAACACATGACAAATGATTGCAATAAATAAATTAAACATAAAATGATAATTGAAGACTCTAAATATTTATTATATATAACTCAAATTTATAATAAATTGCATGTACAATTAAATATTATATTTTCATATATAAAATATATTTCAAATTTTTAAAAATAAATATTTTAAATAAATAATTTTATTTTAGATTTATGATAAATGATTTATATAGTGACATAAAATTATTTTAATTATTGATAATTTAATTTATAAATAAAGAGAGAGAAAAAAAAGGCATCTACTTGAATGAAAGAGGAGTTTTTCTCCAAGATTGCTATAAGATTCTTCTTTCTTTTGATCTTGCTCGGCCCTTAATGTAAAGGCATGGTGGACAAATTTTTTTGTCCATGCCTTCTCCATTAGGTTCTCCCAAACAATCTCATGTAAGATAATTATGTCTCATGTAAGAAACATGCAATGCATAAAGGGACTAATAAATAAATAATCAAATAGTTAGGGACTAAATCATAAATGGGCTTAATGGAATAGTTTTGAGAATAATTATTATTTGATTGGAATAATAATCTTTAAGGATTATAAATATTCACTCATGTGAAACAAAGTCCACACCCTTGACAGAAAGTATTCTCTCAAACCCTAGCTAGTCATCACGGAAGATAGAGAGAATAGAAAAAGGAGTCAAAGGAAGTGAAATCTTAGTTCTCTTCTCAAGCTCTAAGGATCAAAAGAGATTTCCATTATGGAGAAAGATATATAATATTTCTTATTATTATGTGAGTATCATGAATTTTAAAGATCCTTTTAATTTTCTGTAATTGATGTAGTAGAAAATCGTATAACGTACATGTGGTATCAGAGCAAGGTTTTTGAAATTGAATGATTCTCCATGAATGATATGTGTTGTGAAATTGTATAATTTTTCATGAATGTTATATATATACATATTTAAAAATTTTGCAATGATCTAGAAGACATTGTCAAATGAAGAAATTTTTAAGCATTTTTTTTCTCACCAGAGTGAGATAATTGTGTAACAATAAAAATAAAAGAATATTTTCTCACCAGAAGTGAGATAATTGTACAACAATGAAAATAAAAGAATATTTTTCTCACAAGAAGTGAGAAATATAATATGAAAAGTGAAAAGGAAAAGGATAGATAAAGAAACAAATATGACATAAATGTTATGTTTGATCTTTTGAGTACCACTAGAAGTGGAATAATTTTGTCAAGGTCATTGTTTCATATTAAATGATATTTGAGATAATTATATATATATATATATCCCGGCCAATTCATATGAACCCTAATTTTATAAATTAGGAATTATGATTTAATTTTCCGTTGCATGTTGTTTGTTTGGATCATGAATATAATTCTTAATTTTGAATTATGATCAATATATTAAATTTTACATTATCAAAATCCTAATGGCATTTGCATAAGAATTATTTTCTTGAAATTAAGTGCTTGAAAGAAAGTTTCCTTTTTTTTTGAAATGCCTAAATTTGTATTTCAAATTGGAAATAATTGATTTTTTCTTTTTAATCAATTTTGGAATTCGTGACTACGTACTCTACCCTTATGTATTTCAACGTAGAAATTTGTATTTCAAATTGAAAAGAATTAATTTTTTCTTTTTAATCAAATTTTGGAATTTGTGACTGTGCATGCTACCTTCATGTATTTCAACATAGAATTTCAATGTTCTCAATTTCTAAAACATGAAGTTTTATTTTATTTTCTTTTATGAAATTCATGAATGACTGTAAATTGGGACTAGTAAAGTTTTTTTTATTAACTCAGAATTAATTGTATGATAAATTTGTTAGTCACCAAAGTGACCAAATTTTATATTTGTTCCGGCCAAAGGGTGGACTAGGGTTTCTTCCTAGGTCAAGCCTCAAAGCCAGAGCATTCAAAAGTGTAATGTGTCCGCCTAACTCTAGGGTTTTAGGTTATATAGTTTCTTGTTTATGGGCCTCATGGGCCCCGAGAATGTAGGGATTTTCTTAACCGTTTTTATCTGTAAGATACTCGATGAGCAAGGGTGAGGCCTTACCCTTACTATGGGATGGTGTTAATATAGAGAGTCGGGCTCGGTTCCCGACCGACTAGGGCCGTTTAGTGGTCCTAGTCGGTTATTGGTCGAGTAGGTTCTTAGGCAAGCGGGGTCGGTATAGGGCCAGCCAGGCTCATGCCACTACAAGAAAATGACGATTTTGCGACGGTTATATGGCCTATATTGCGACGGTTAGAACTGTCGCAAAGACAACATTGCGACGGTTCGGGAACCGTCGCAGAATTGTCTGTCCTTAATTGTGCAATTTCTGGGAAACTTCCCAGAAGGTCACCCATCCCTGTACTACTTTAGGTCAAGCACGCTTAACTGTGAAGTTCTAATGAGCCCCATTCTCAAGCTCGCCTGGCGCACACACCCTTACGCCCGGCGGCTTGCCTAAACAGAGCCCCCTGGTGGTCACGCGCCCGACGCAAAGAATAGCGCCCAGGGCGAAGCTCAACAACAACTTCCCCAAGTTTGAAATGCCCAAAACCTGCAAAAATCAACAGAAAACCAGCATGCAATCCAGCCAATTTCTTCATTTTCAACATGCAAACACAATTCATTAAAAACCCCAAAATTTCTTCAAACCCCAAAATCCCCTAAAATCCCCATTTTCACCAAATCAGCCAAGAACCATAAATCATCAGCAATCACAATGAAGTAGAGTTAGGCCTTCCTTGGTTGGCCTTCCCACCTTAGGAAGTGAGCTAGCCAAAAGGAGCATCACCTCCACCAAACACATCCACCTCCACCTTGAGCGTCACCCTCCTTTAACCTAAACACCATCTCTTCCTTAGCACTAGGTTGCCTTTGGCTAACCTCCTCCCCTCTCCACCATAAAAGCAAAACCCTACTTAGGTTTCATCCTACACTTGGATGAGACTACCTTGAGCAAACCATCTTCACCTTCATTTCTTTGTGCTTCCGCCAACCATCCCTCCATTTTCTTCATCATTTTGGAGTCTCCTTGTTGAACCAAGATCAAGGGCGTGCATGGAACTAAGCCACATTCCATCAAGTGGTATCTAGAGCCATGGTTCTTCAAGGGTAAA